CACTGGCGCCTGTTTGGTCTTGTTATTTTCGGTGTTAATACACAATTTATGTTTATATGTTTTTGTGCCACAAATTCTGCATGACTTATTTGATCAATTGAGCCCGGCTCCAAGAAGCAAACAGAGGTGGAGTTCAGTTTTAAAACAATCCGATTTGTTGCGAAAAACATAAACCTGTAATGATCTTCCAACCATCGTCATAACAATGTAGAAGAAATCGTTGTGCCGTCCCTTATCCTCGATTCGGCAGAAATGCCTCAGGCGGTCTTGCTCTTTCAGCTTACTTAGCACTGTTAGCTCCATTTTAAGGAAACCCACTTTTTCGTGTACACTTTCCACCTGAACTAATGGTTACTGATTTTTTTTTTATTTATTTGGCCCACACATTTCCGATGAAAAATCATGGTAATGCTGGTACTAATAACAGCGATATTATTACTATAATTGTTTACAGCAACAACAACAATAATAACAGTAACAGTAACGATAGTAAAAGCAATAATAACAATGAAAGTAATAATGACGGTAACAATTATAAAACGGGCCTGGCACGTGAAAATCGTTACAGAATGAACTGATGCTGCTGCCGCTTCCAATGCGTGTATCTCGATTACAGCTGTTTTGCATGCTAACAAGCCAGAGGGTTTTTTTCTTACTGTTGGATCGAAGCAAAAAAATGAAAAACAGAAAAAAAACTGTAGAGTTGGAAGGTTTAAAAGCAAGTATTTGAAGTAAGAAATTTTGTTTCCGTTTCGGCTCTACGGAGCACATGAGAAAACCCTTCGTCCCCTTGATTTAACAGCCAGAATATAAATTTGTTTGACGCCAGCGATAAATTTAATAAGGGTATAAATTTGCTGCTCAACTGAGCCAGTCGAAGCAGAAGAAAAAAAAAGTGATAAAAAGTAATGCGGGAAGACGGTATGATGAATATATTAGTATTGTGTAAACCATTAATTACTTTCATCATGTAAACTGGTACCATCCAAACAGGGATTTTTACTCATTCCCAAAGCAATTTTAATAGCTCCATGAGTCTGTTTAGAAAGTGGCTCTAATGGCATTTCCGTGTGCTTTCGCCTCTCACAGAAAATGAAATAAGCAGAAAGTTTTGAATTTTGACTTAAATCTTCGTTCTTTCTTGTATTTCCGTTTGGACTGCTTAGCGGCGACGCATCATTTTCCTCGTTTCGCAGAAGTCAAAATTTTAAAGTGGACTGAGTTTCGCGTGAAGAAGCAACCCCTGTACGGTACCTTCAATGCATATTTTTGATTATCCTTGGAGCAGACGTAGACAGCACCGAAAGCGCCCTCACCAAGTTTGCCGTCAATTCGCCATCCTTCTACGTCACTGCCAATTTCAAGTTGCACCAGTTCGCCCATACCTCTCTTGTGCTTTTAAATCCGAATAACTGTCCGAAAGGATACGATTGCTGGCGAGTTACAAGCCGTTCAAGATTTGTGCCGCAAGCTTGTTAACCCACTGACCGACTGGGCCTCGCGTCTGGATAACTTAGCAATAGGATGTTCAAACGTTCTGCATTCTTTTTATAACATTTTTTTTTCCGGTAGATAGTTTACAGGCGAGTGTCTTTTAATATGTAAATTCCGTGTTGTGCAAAATATGCAGATTTACCAACTAGAACCCGTATACAGCTCTTCATCGTAAATTTCACACCAAAATCCCAGACTGCCTGGGCTATCAGAATGAAAGTAGTGCCATGTTAGTGATGCAACTAGAATGCTTGCCCGGGCAGTTATGCTAATTCTTTCGATCCTGAATTACTATGACTTGGGCCTTTCGATGCTTTTCAAAAAGTTTCAGTAAAATACGTAAATTTTTTGGCGGGAAAAATGTGCAATTCCCGTTCACTGTGTTCATCCCCAGCGCATGCTTTCCATTTTCAGAATTCCAATACAAATAAATAATTTATTTCTTTCATGACTGTCACAAGAATCAGCTCTCATTGCCTCTGGGATGCAGCCAAACGGTCAGCACATCCGTGGTGGTCATTTCTCTTCTGTTCCCATCCTAATTTAAATGAAAGTTCAGCTGTTGTCCATGTGCACTTGCCACATTTTTTCCTCGCTGCATTATTACTCATTCGAATAAAATTGCCAGAATTTCCCTTTCGTTGGCATGTCGCTGTATATTGGGATGCTGTAAAACGAGAGGATTTAGCGATTTTGCTACCCGCCCTCATTTTTGATGCGCGTTGTTGATCCGCTACGCATCCTTGATTTGACTCAGTCCCTCCGCTTCTCCTATCCTTACAGTCTTGCGGCTACGCGCTAGTATTGATAAATGCTAATTTTTAATTAAAAGAAAAACATTTTTCATTCAGGAGCAAACAGTTCAGAGCAAAGGGCAGTTTTGAGATTTCAGAACTTCGGTTGAGCGATGATGTTGTGCAGTTCGTTTACAGATTAGCCGACCCGTAACATACTGATATAGGCAGATGAAAAGTG